TAGTAACAAGTGCCTTACTAGTAGTAACAAGAAGCTATTAGAAACAAGTGCATCACTTCATGATTTGGTTCCTCGATTTTTAGGGAAACTGAACTTAGTGTGACAAGCTGTTGCCTTCGCAGGACATCTTCTTGGACCAGTTCGCTTGTGTGCAAATCTTAAAGCACAGTTCTACCAAGGTTGATGCTTTCATGTTCATGGTATGTCAAGACAGTCATTTGAAGAAGAGGACAAGAGGCGGAGCCTCACAGACGCATTGGGACCAAAGTCTGAGTGGCTGCGGCCATGTGAATGCAAGGATTTGCTCGTTGATTTCCATCAGAGTTGACAATGACAGCAGCTTAAATTGTAGATGTTTCCGGTCTTTTTCTTGGCATATCGAGTTGTCGCCGTGTGATGCGTCCGGTCGCCGCCTGTTGCTGTACGTCCAAGTCCATTCGACTGACTTGACTCCTCGTCCCTCCACAGAGTCCATTGGCCGAAACGCTGAACGAGTTCAGGTGCAACCGGTGTCCATGACCGAAAGTTTCTCCATTTCGGAGGGCAAAAGCGTCCTCAAATTGGATCTGGGAGTTGCTGTGGAGGCTTTGAGCAGGCCAGATCCTGAGATTGACTGTTTGACTAGCAGGTACTTATCCTGTACTACAGATGCTAATTACTGCTTTGGACCTGTGCCCAACACACCTGTCTGCTAACAAGAAGGCGTTCTCTACTACCCTTATTTGTGGCTTTGTATCCTCAATCCCGATAAACCCTGTTACAAAACTTGTCCTTTTCCTTCCTTTTTTTTGTTTCTTTAGGCGTTTAGACATCTCTTATTTGTTTCCTTTTGTTGAAGGAAGAATGCTTTTGAAAGGGCCTTGTGCATTCTTTCTTTTGGGACACCATAATGACAGATCAAAGCAACATTTGAGGCCGCAGTATGACGAGCAACAGAAGCTCACACGGCTTCATTGTCGGCTGTTGGAAGATTCCACGAAAGAGGGCTGGGTGACGATGAAAGGGAATCAAGGTGCACTTTTCTACTGTTCAAAGAATTGGTTTTTCTGATTCTAGGAACAAGTGCATCGCTTCTAGTAACAAGTGCCTTACTAGTAGTAACAAGAAGCTACTAGGGGCTCCTGGCCGTACTACTAGTAACAAGAAGCTACTAGGAATCTCTTCTTAGATCATCATTTCCGTCTGCCTCAGGCAAAGTCTTCTTGGATCGGCTCTCACCGCATAGTGCACATCAAAAGTCCTTGGATAGGAGCTGCTGCTTAATTCAAATAAAGGAAGTCACGGATGCTCGTATCCCAAAGTTAAGTTTCTCTAAAAATCTAGGAGCCAAATCATATTAGTGCGAGCGTGAGTTATCTTGCGTCCTAGGTATTAGCGTACTAGTAGCTAGTAGGCACCTGCTTAATTAAGTAGGGAGAGGGGGAGCGGGTTAAAAAAAGAGAAACACATAGAAAAAGACAACGCAAGAAACAAAAAGAAGCTAATCCGCACAGCACCAAGATGCCGTAGGATGATGTCTGCTTCTACAAAGGTCGTCAACAAGGCTTCTTTCTAACACATCGCTTTGGTCGAACGGTTGCACCGGTGGGCATTTCCCAGCTAAAAATGCGCTTTTCGCTTGGAGGCCTCATCCTTTTTGAGCGCGAGAAGAAAAGAATTGAACGACTGCAGCAATGGGCCATTGTTAGAGGCCGCTTCACAGTGTCCAACTGATGGGAATGGACGGACACTGTCTGACCGGACTTTGATTCTCTGAGGCGAAAGTGAAGATGGAAGAATTTAAAGTCAAGGTCCATTGGCTGTCTGCGAAGATAGGAAAAGGAATGAACACTTGTTGAGAGTTACATCGCTCTGACAAGGCTTCGTCACTACAGCGAAAGCTGGACGAGATTAAGAAGAAAGTTGCAGAAGCTGCGAAAGAGTACGAAAAGTTATCCGGCCTTACTTGGTGGTGTATGTCTAGCATCTAGCGGTGATTGAAGGTGAACTTTAGCGGCATGATTGTGACAGTGCAAGTAGAACGACATATTGCCTGCATTGAAATAGGCATTGACTGATCATGGCTTCTTAAATGCATTAGGTCGTGCTTGAAAGAGTGCTATTGCTTACGCAGATTTTGGCCTCACCAATAATACAATATGTAATACATGTTTCCTTGTTGAATCTGCATGACGATGACGATTGAGCTGGCAGCTGCTCCTACTCCTACTCCTACTCCTCCTTCTCCTACTCCTACTACTGCTACTAGTACTAGTACTAGTACTACTGCTGCTGCTGCTGCGACTACTGCTATCATTTACAAATCCTTCGTTGAAAGTCCCTCTCCAGAAGCGATGGCAGGTGTGAAGCACAGCAAAAACGAGCACGCAGCGATGCACGCGACAAGCGGCTTCTGGATGCCATGACCAAGGCCTCCTCGACACAATTCTGCAACACCAAAATACTAATTAATTAGTAACAAGAAGCTACTAGGGACTCCTGGCCATACTACTAGGAACAAGAAGCTACTAGGGGCTCCTGGCATCGCTACTAGGAGCGATCGGACACTACTAGTAACAAGGAGGATGAGTTCGGACAAAAGGACGGTAAGGGTACCGGTAACGGCAGGGCCCTCTTTTGAGTGTCCTTTTTGTTTCTCTGGAGATTCTTTTGGACCAAACGTTTCTTGAGGCGATTGAACAAGAGCTACATACTCTCAAAGCTGAAGAGAAGCGAATTGCCGAGGTGCCGATGCAAACCGTAGCGTCCGATCGCTCCTAGTAGTACGGCCAGGAGCCCCTAGCAGCTTCTTGTTCCTAGTAGCGATGCTAGGAGCCCCGAACGCAATGTTGACACCTAACACCTGACAGGCGCACTTTGAAATTGAATAGACCCTGCAGGTGGTGGCTCCACTGACCAATGGAGCAGACCTGGAGGTTCTGGACGCACCAGTCTCCATCCTGAAGGATGGCAAAGAGATGGCTGAAAAGCTCAAGGAACAATCAGCTGCTGCAAGGCGAGGAACTGGGCTGGCCTAGAGAAGAATAGAACATACAAACTGGAATGATACTAGGGGCTCCTAGCCTTACTACTAGGAGCAAGAAGCTACTAGGAACAAAGGAAGGGTCTAAAGCTGCTGCAAGGCGAGGTACTGAGCTCTGAAGGAAAAAACAGACAAAGAAGGGTCTAAAGGCCTATACAAAAACAGAGCATACAAACAGAAGAAAGGACAGCGAAGGAAACACCTACAAAAAAGACCAGAAAGGCCAGGTTAAGCGCTGTTTTTGTTTTTCCATCCTCAGGCCTCAAAGAAAGCGTTCAAAGACGCCTTAAAGTTGTAAGTCGTAAGTAGTTGTAGGATGTTGTAGGTGGTAGTAAGGAGGGGAGTTCGACAGAGCTTCTTGGAGGAAGTCTATTCAGCAGCATGAAGTCCCTCAAGGCGTGGCTGCAGGCCGGAACCAGACAACCTTGCTTGGGCGGTGTTCTTGTACGAAGCAAGTGCCTGGCAAGACATTCCAGAGGTAAGAAAAAGCCGCCTAAGAAGGCATTCTTGCAAGTAGAGAGCATTATCATTACTGAACATGTCTTTGCAGCGGCAGATGAGGCGTTTCATTTTGTTGAAGTCTGATGGGGTCTAGAATTGCTACGCCAGGAACTGCCACGTCTATGCGCCAAGTCATCAGCACATCCCTTTCAGAGGCCGGCTTGGTTAAGTGTTCCTAAAAATCTAGGAACAAGAAGCTACTAGGGGCTCCTGGCATCGCTACAAGGAGCAAGGACGCTACTAGGGGATCCTGGCCTTACTACTAGGAACAAGAAGCTATTAGGAACCAAATGATTAGTCCGAGCGCTTCTTTAAGGATGCTCCCCCGCCGCATTGAGGCGGCTTCCTTGAAGAAGCGTGAGGTATCCTGCGTCCAGTAGGTAGTAGCTTAAGTAGCTTAAGTAGGTAGTAGCAGTAGCAGTAGCAGTAGCAGTAGCAGTAGCAGTAGCAGTAGCAGTAGCAGCAGTAGCAGCAGTAGCAGCAGTAGCAGCAGTAGCAGCAG